TGACATCTAATTTTTTTACCAAAATCTTATTTTTTTACAGCTCAGAGACAGATTTGCGTATTGTTTTAGAATCTAAGAGAAAGTTGAAGGACATAGAGGCCGAAAAGAGTTTGGAAGAAGAAAGGGCATTGAAAAATTAGATATAACCTTGGTCTTATTTTCCATCAGCAGTCAGATGAAGGAAAGCTCTAGGTCATTTTTAGAACATTGCAAATTTGAAACTCTACCCATAAATCCATAAAAACAAGGTTACTTGAGGTCAGGGTGGAAAGTTCTGGCCCGTTCCTCCACCCTTATTTCATGTCATTGTACTAAAAGAAGATATAAAGTTCATAATGACTCCAAATGTATTAGTCTGAACTCTTGAGTTTTCAGACTCCTGAGGATTCATGTCACATCCTTTCAGTTAAATAAAATATTTAATTAGACACAAGTTTTTCCACAAGAATTTCCCTGAGAGTTAATTCTCAGAGTATGTATCTTCACACAGAAAGAAGGCAAATGATTTGTTGGGTTAAAAATGTTTAGTTAAAGAACCTGCTTATTTCATGATACCCAAGAAAACATAAAAATCTACTACCATCAAGTCAGTTCTGCCTCGTGGTCACCCTATAAGAAAGAGGAGAATTGCTTTGTGGGGTTTCTGAGACTGCAAATCTTTATGGGAGCGGGCTGATGGATTTGAATCACCAACCTGGTGGTGGTGGTGGTTGTTGTTAAGTGCTGTCGATTCCGACCCATAGTGACCCTGTACAGGGTTTCCGAGGCTGTAAATCTTTACAGGAGCAGAAAACCTCATCTTTCTCCCGCGGAACAGCTTGTAGTTTCGAACTGCTGTCCTGAAGGTTCACAGCCCAATTCGTAACCATTATGCTACCAGAGCTCCTTAACCTAGTAGTTTGATGTCTAAAATAGTATATACTAATATTTTTATCTATATTCTATTTTGTAATGATTGTAAGTAGCCAGTTTTTCTTTGGTTTTGTTTTCAAATAAGGTAACTGTACTATTTTTAAAAGGAGCTCTGGTAGTGTAGTGGTTAACAGGTGGTTTGCTAACCTCAAGGTCAGCAGTTCGAACCTACCAGCCATT